GAGGCGCTCCCCGAGTTCACCGAGGCCGAGCGCGCGAGGGTGTTCAAGGCCATCGATGCGCGGGGGGCAAACGAGAGCCTTGACGGACGAGCTCATCGCGAGCTGGACCATCGACTTCACTCGAACCGAGCACGGCCCGAACCTCGCGTTGGCCGGCTCATTGTCGAGCCTGTGGGCCGAGGCCGTTCCTCTCCGAGCGTGGCTCCAAGGCATCGTCTACGCGCCGATGGCCCCAGACGTCGCGAGCTTCTTGCAAGAGCCAGACACTCACGAGCACAGCCAATTCAAGGCCGTGATCAGAGAGGTCAAGGCGGAGATCCACTGGGCTTTGGGGAACGAGTGGCTCGAGAAGATCAAGGCTGAGCCAAAGCAGAAGTATGCGTACCCGATCTGCTGTGGCCCTTACGAATGTCTCTACTGCGTGTCTCCAAGGCCCACATCCGCTTCCGCGAGAAGCGCGAGGAAGCCGTGCTGCTGCAGGGGCTGCAAGCGAACCAAATGCTTGCGGTCCGCCCAACCGAGCAAGGCACGCTCGTGATCGTGACAAGCCGCGAGCCCTGGAACTACTCGAACGAGCCAGGCCGCGGCATCGAGCCGAAGCTGGCGCTGGAGCGACTGAACGCATCCGCCAGTGGCTCGACAACGCGCCGCCAGAGCTGGACTGGAGCATCATCGACGGCGACTGCTTCCGCATCGAGGACTTGCCCGAGAATCCCATGCTTGCTGGAGTTCTCGAGCTCACAGACAAGCAGAAGGATATGCTCAAGCCGCCAGAGGAGCGGATCAAAGATATCCAGTTCCCGCGCGCTCTCGGGAACCAAACCGAACACGCGAAGAGACACGCCCGCAAGATCCAATGGGCTGGCAAATTCGCGGAGCAGCTACTCGGAAAGCTGCAGCGCAACTGGAACAAGATGAGATATGAGGAAGGCAGCCCAGACGGGATGGCTAGCAAGAGCCGAGGCGTCGCGAAGACGAAGATCAAAGGAAGAACGCCCGAGGGCACGAAGACTTTCTCCGAGAAGTTCAAGGCTGCGCAGGTAGCCAAGAGGAACGCCAGGAAGTCGGTTGGGAGACCTCGGGGCTCGAAGGACGAGGGCCTGAAGGCTTGTAAGGACAGCCCCTGGCAAGAGAAGATGGCCCGCGTCACCGACGAGGGGATTCGCGAGGGCAGGCACGGCAGGGTTCGAGACGTCTGGAGCATCAAGGGCTCCGAGAGCGAGTTCAGGGTGCTCGGGGTCAACACTGCGGCGATCTTCCAGGTCGTCAGCGGCCAAGCTCAAGGGCCAGCGGGCGACGGACTCACGAGCAGGACGGCGAGAGGAAGGAGGAGAAGGCGTGTGATATCGTCGCTGAGATCCACAGTGAGACCGATCGTGAGATCGATAGTGACATGGAAAAGGAGATCGGCAGGGAGATTGATTGTTAGACCTATCGTGAGATCGATCGTGAGACCGATAGTGGGATCCGATGTGAGATCGATACGGAGGTCGATCGTGAGACCGATCGGGATGTCGATTGTGGGTTGCATAGTGAGATCAATAGCGAGATCGATGGTGAGATCGATTGTTGTTAGACCGATGGCGAAATCGGCAGTGAGACCTATCATGAGATCTGTTGTGAGACCGACAGTGCGCGCTGGGCTCACGAGAAGGAGGGGGAGCGGAAGGATGAGGAGGAGAGGGAGGCGGAGAAGGAGGCCAGGAGAGAAGAAAAAGAAAGGCGGAGCAGGACAGGAGCAGAGAGGAGGAGAGATAAAGAAAGAAGAGGAGAGAGGGAGGAAGGGAGATGAGGAGAGATGAGGGCGAGTAGGAGAGAGACGAGGACGAAATTGAGCATCACCGTTCTATAGTCCACCCGCAAAGAGCAACCATTCGTAATTCTACACGACGAATAGACAACCACCCAGAAACCTCTATCTAGCTTTCTACATATCTGGTAGGTTCGAAACTTTGGTTTCCCTTGAAATCTCCGTTTCCTCCTCGTCCTCCTCCCTCCCCTCCTCCCTCTCCTCGTCATGCTCCCTCTCTTCTGTAGCTACACTCCTCCTCTCCGTCCTCCCTCCGTGCCCCGTCCGAACTGTGTAACCGTTTGTTTTCGGCCATCGGCAGACCGCAACCAATGGTACGCCTACACGACGAGTAAGAAACCACCGCGAATCCTATAGTTCTACACCTACAATTCGCTAGAACCGAAAGTTTGAACGTTCTGGAATTATCGTCTTCCTCCTCCTCCTTCTCCTCCTCCTCCTCCTTCTCCTGATCCTCCTCATTATACTCGTCGTTTCCCCTCCTCTTCTGTGACTGATGCTCCTCCTACCTCTACTCCTTCTCTTCTCTGTCTCTTCCCCCTTGTCCCCCTTATCCTCCTCCTCCTCTCCGTCCTCCGCGCCGCGCCCGAACTGTTCAATCGCCGGCTTTTGACCATCGGCAAACAGCAACCCTCCTCCTCCCTCATGTTCCTCCCCCTCCCTCTCCTCGTCCTCCTCCACGCTGTAGTCCTCCTCCTAGTCCCGCTCCTTCTCTTCTCTTTCTCCTCCTGCTCCCCCCCTCCTCTCCGCCCCCCGGCCTCACGACAACGAGGGTGAGAGGGAGGAAAAGGAGGAGGAGGAGGAGGAGGAGCAGGAAGAGCCGAGGGAGGGAGAGAGGGGCGGAACCTCGGAGAGGAGGACGGGGGAGGAGGAGGAGGAGGAGGAGGAGGAGGAGGGGGGAGGAGGAGGAGGAGGAGGAGGAGGAGGGAGGAGGAGGAGGAGGAGGAGGAGGAGGAGGAGGAGGAGGAGAAGGGGGGAGGAGGAGGGAGGAGGAGGAGGAGGAGGAGGAGGGGGAGGAGGAGGGGAGGAGGAGGAGGAGGAGGGGGAGGGAGCGCTCGTCGGCCCTCGAGCCTCGAAGGCTGTGGTCGAGGGAGCCTGGAAGCCCCCCAAAGCCTCAGAGGCTGGACTGGCGGGCGTGCAGGCCTGCCAGGCGCGGCCTGCCAGGCGCACCGCACTCGCCAAGCACTTCTCGACCGAGACCACCCGGCCGATCGCGGGGAACCAGCTCATCGAGCTTGGCACGGCGAGCGCGGTGCCCGGTGAGATCCGGGAGAGCGGGTGGGCATCGCAGACGGCGTCGTGGCGGTGGAGCCCACGGTGGCCGCGCTCTGGGCTCGAGCAGGCCAGGGCGGGGACACGATCACCGCCGCGCAGCAGACCTGGCAGAGGCGCTGGACCAAGAAGATCGAGAACGCCGCGCACTTGCCCATCGCAGTGCACAGCGATGCCCCGAGCCACTGCACCTCCCTCAGAGTCTCCAAGCAGGGGGCCGACGTCGCCATCCAGGACCGAGACTCCCTCAAGGTGCCGCCCGAGAGCGCCCAGCGGGCTGCCACGAAGATCCTCCGCGAGGTCTGCGCCACCGCCCCTGGCGAGGAATGCCCCCATGAGTAAGACGTTCTAGGTGGACGGCTGGTCCTGCGGGCTGTGGGTGACGAGATGGGTCGAGCGCGACTTGCGCGAGATCCCCGGCGAAGGGCGTAACATGCCCGTCAGCATCGGCCAGTACTACGCCCGAGGCAACGACTGGATCCAGCGCTCCCGAGACACCAGCAACAACCCTGCGGGAAGGCTAAGGCCAATGCCAAGGGCAAGGCTACCAAGGAGGCTGAGGACCCGCTCGCGGCCGAGACCTCGCACGCAGACCTCGAGAATGCTCTCGAGGCAGCCAAGGCCTGCACCAAGTGCCTGGTCAGCAAGGACGGCTCGAAGGGGTGCCGAGCGTGCATGGGCGTCCACTTCCAGGAAGTCCGCAAGCGAGACTTCCTGGCGCGAGCTTACAAGGACCTCCAGCAGTGCAAGTGAGCTCCTGTCGAGACGAGGTCAGCAACTCCAGACCGACTCTTCCGAGTCGATCCTTGTCCTAGTGCGCAAAAAGTAGAGCGTGGATGGGCGCTCACTCGGAAGAATGGCAAGATGGGTGTCTTGTCCCCGCCCAAGCTTCGCACCGCAGTCTGCACGAGCGACCCGCCTAGAACAAAAAGTAAGGCAACCATGCTATTTCAGAGGACTCGTGCTCTTCCCACGCCCTCAGAGAGCCGCCCCCAGAGCAACGACAGAGCCATTATCGATCTATCGATCTCAAAGTCGACCGCACTATCGATGCCACAATCGATATCACAATCGATCTCACTGTCGATCTCACTATCGATCCCATTATCGATCTCACGATCGGTCCCACAGTCGATCACACAATCGATCCTCCTATCGATCTCACTGCCGATACCACAATCGATCACACAATCGATCCAGCTATCGCTCTCGTCATCAAACTCGCTGTCGATCCAACTAATATCGATCTCGCTATCGAGCTCACTATCGATTTCACTATGGGCCCCATGCTTTCAGAGAGCCCCCCAAGAGGGGCCAGGGTCTCATGATACCATCGTATTTCTCAGGATTCGTGCTCATCCAACTCCTCCTGGGAGGCACCGCCTAGGCACTTGAGAGGGATTAGGATGCCATTCCACCAAAATATGTCAAAGGGTTTATCTTCATCGCAAACCTCCAGAGAAGCTCCCCCCGAGAGGGACCAATGTGCCACTGCGCTGTAATATTTCACAGGGCTTCTGCTCCTCCTACATCTCAATGCACTCCCCCTCAAAGGGGCCAATGTGCCATGGAACCATAGTATTTCACATGTGTCGTACTTGTCCCATACCTCTAGGCAGGCCCCACAAGAGTGGCCATTGCATCAGTCTGCCATAGTATAGGATTCGTGCGCATTCAACTGCTTCATACAAGCTCCAGCGGAAGGCTTCTCCAGACCAGCTTGGAGGTTATTCCAGACCCATCCAGACATCCCAACATCGATATCTGCGGGAAAGTTGTATTACCCTCCCAGGACCCCGAACTTTATCATCCCCAGGGTGCGATTCACACCGACATTGGGTTATCAATAGGGTCGCGGCCGAAGAGCCCAAACCGCTAGACCACACCAAATATGGATACGCTTCCCACCCAAGACATCCTGGCCATCCGGGCGAGGCGGAGCAGCCGGAAGAGCCGGCTGATCATCGAAGTGGTGCCTCCGTCTGATCCCTGCGAGCTGTCGGACAGGGCGAGGATCAGCCGGACCACCCAGGTGTCCACGACCGTGAGCACGACCAGCCCGGAGTCGAAGAGGAACCACGCGTCCCTGAGCACGTGCCACTTGGAGAGGTACGCGGCGAAGCGGACCAGGATCTCCAGCGTGAAGTACACGCAGAAGAACTGGTCGGCGACCTGGAACTGGAGCGGCGCGTCCCGAGGGTCGTCCGCTCTGTTCCTTGGCTGCCCCGATGCGCAGCACGCAGCGCGCAGCCTACTGCTACGGAGCTCAACAGGCACGCAGACTGAACACGTCGGTCTCACGCCACACGTGCGCCAACACTGACTGCCTACCAGACCACCCCAACCCAACCCGAAGACCCGAATTTCGGGTTGGGGGGGGGTAAGGCTTCCGCATGTGCGTTTTCGATGTTTCCCGACCCCCCCCCACTAGAAATCGAGGGTAAATCTGAGCCTTCGGGTTGGGTTGGGGTGGTTTGGTGGGTGGTGCAACACGTGGGCCACGGTGTGCCAAAACACGCAACGTATCGACACGGGCGGTTTGAGCACGGCGCGTGCCGCGTACCCGAACGGGCGCATCGAGGCAGCTAGGCTCTGCTCAGGTCCACGTCGACCGCGATCCACACGGCGCTGAGGGCGATCACGAACAGCGTGAAGTACTCGAATACGAGGCTCCGGGCGATCCGCTGCGCCCAGCCTTCGAGGCTAGGGGATCGACTACAGGATTGATGTACCCCGAAATTGATTCTCTCGTCGAACCAACGGGGGAAAAAAACGCCAAATACTCCACAGATCTCGACGAGGGCATCTATTTGGGGGTAAATCAACACTGTAGTCGATCTCTACTCCAAGCCTGACTTCTTCAGAAGGACGAACTCATCGCCGCGCTCTTGCATGTTCATTGCGTCTTTTACCTTGCTCTTCATGTTCATGCTGTACTCCCTCATCCTCATGGAGGCTGTGGCAGGGCTAGGGAGCGCCGATAACCACTGCCTCCCCGCGCCACCAACGCTGGCGGGATTGGACTCCCTGCCCTTTTCCTTCACCTCCCCGACATGCGTCACTTCCCTCGTGGCGTTGGAGGAGCACATGGAGGAGGCGCATATCCCGTGCGGCGCCGACAGGGACCCGGGCTTCAGAAAGAGAGAGAGGCTGCTCGACCTCTTCGGGTCGGATGAAAAGGGTGGGAAGCAAAGGAAGGGTTGGCGAATCAGCTCACGGCGCTGGTCTCTCTGGCGCCTTCCGGCGCCGGGAGAGGGGCCCGTGTATGGAGGAAAGCGCCGGGCAGCGGAGCCAAAACCAGCTGCCCCCCCCAGCAGAGTCAGTAACCGCCCCGTTCCCTGCCCCCCCCTTTCGTCCACCCCGACCTCTGGCCCACCGCAGCATCGAGGGCGGCCTCCTGCCCAGACGCCGCCACGTCCCTGCCCCACCCCTGGGCGCTCTGACCAGGCACGCCCCAGTCGCCGGCGCCTCGCCCCTGCAGCGCCTCGATCTCCGCGCGGAGCCTGCCGACCTCCGACGCCGTGGCCGCCTCCTGCAGCCGGAGGATCCCGTCGACCTCCGCCGAGAGGTCGCTCACCGCCTTGCGGACGGACTCCCGCGCCTGCAGCGCCGCGAGGGCCGCAGGCAGAGCAGCAGCGGGGGCCCCCCGCTCCGGCAGCGCTGCCCCGCCGGCCGCGACGCAGGGCAGCCGCGGGCCGCCGGGCTCCAGCGGCCGCTCGGCGGCCGGCGCCGCGCGGCTCTCCTGCGGCAGCACGCCGGCCAGCGCGTCGTCCACGAGCCGCGCCCAGTGGTCCTGCTCCGGCTCGGGCGGCGTGGCGCTTTGCCGCATCATCTCGCTGCGAGACTCGCGGCTCCCAGGGATATGCACCACCACCACCTCTATTCCCCCTCCCTCCTCCGCCATCCTCTTCCCCTCCTCGTTCCTGGGAGGGGGAGGGGGACGGGGAGGTGGTGGTGGTGGTGGTGTATAGCTTGGGGCCCCGTGATCTTGTTTTCGCATTCCCCCTCGGAACGTCCGTTGCGGAGGAGGAGTGGGGGAGTGGGGCCTGCGAGCGCCACGCCATGCTTGTGAGGTGAATACCGAAGCAGGCCCCCCTCCAGGACCACAGCACGCCTGCGAGCAACACGCCGTGCCCGTGGGGGGACCGGCACCCGCCCCGCGCACGCTCGGCACCGTTGCCAGAACCCTTCCCGAAGGAGGTCTGCGCAGATGGGGGCGGGCGATCCCGCCGCATCGCCGATGCATCGACGATGCACCTGCGCATTCTGCCGACCCTGTCGGCGTGTGAGACGGGTTTTTCCATTGAATCGTCGTCGTCGTCGTCCTCCTTGTCAGTCTCGTCATCGTCGTCGTCACGACCGTCGTCGCCGCTCCCCCATTTCTCTCTGGGTCCTCCCCCCCCAATGGCGCCACCCATAGGAAATTCCAGCAACGTGGCAATCGAATCCGAAGAAACCAATTCGCTTTGATTTTGCCCCGGAGAGGGGCGGCCAGGGGGGGGGGGCCAGGGGGTCTTGGGTTGTCTGGGGAGCCTCCTGGGCCGTCTTGGGGCCCTCTTCGGGGCCTCGTGGGCAGTCTTGGAGCGATCTGAAGGGCCTCCGAGGCCGTGAGGGAGCACTGGGGAGCGGGAAAAGCGAGGACGCCCAAATCCTTCAAAAACCTTTTCCAGGGCCCTCTTGGGGAGCCTCTTCAGTCCGTCCTGGAGCTTGTTGGAATCCTCGTCGGCCGTCTTGAGGGCAGCTTGGGCGTCTTCGGGGCCTCTTGGGACCATCTTGGGCCCTCTCGGGACCCCCATTAGCCTGTCATGGCCTGGTCCAGGGCGGGCCCGGGCCGCCTCGGGATCTCTTGACCCCCCCACAAGCCCCCAGCGGGCACCCGGTGGAAAATCCAGAAAATCTGGAAAATCTGGAAACACACATAGTTCTTCAACAGGGTAGTCTCTGGGGAGATCTGGAAAATCTGGAACATCTGGAAAACGAAACGTTTTGCAACGGTAAGTGTCCAGAGAATGGGAAATCGACAGAAAGAGAAAGAGAGAGAGAGAGAGAAAGGGAGAGAGGAAGAGAAAGGGGGAGGAGCAGGGGGAGGAGGAGGAGGATGATGAGGAGGAGGCGGTGCGATCATAGGCGGAGGAGGAGGTCGGAGGAGGAGGAGGAGGAGGAGGAAGAAGAGGCAGCGGAGGAGGAGGAGGAGGAGGAGGAGGAGGACGAGGAGGAGGATGTATGATCACAGGGAGGCCATACATACATATATATATATATATATACATACATACATACACACTAGAACCATCGCGCGCGCTTCGCGCGCGCGCTCAGGTTCTAGCAGGCCCCAGGCCTTGACGAATTCACTGCTCCACTGAAGTAGTGGACCACAGTCCACGCATACCAATCTGCATTCCGAAAGGCCTTCGAGGAAAATAGTTGTGTAGGAGGGCGGAGGCCATATGAATCGGGTTCCCAGAAGGCCTTCTGGGAGTATGGGTTTTGGGCGTCTTGGGGAGCCTGTTGGGGCGTGCCGTCGTCGTCGTCGTCGTCGTCGTCGTCGTCGTCGCGCTGCTGCGACCCATTCCCGAACCTGACCTTGGGGGCGGCCTAACCTGGCGCAGCCCCGATTGGCAATAGACCCGACACGTTCCGTCCAGAACGCCAGGTTCGCACGCGCCCAGCACGAAGGGACGGCAACTGCGGTCGCCAATAGTTTCGCGCCGAGTCCGTACATTTTACTACGGGGACGGGCTGATTTGTGCCTCTTGAAGGCCCTCTTGGGGCCCTCTTCGGCCATCTTGAAGCCATCTCGGGCCCTCTTGGGCCTCGCTAAGGCTGTCCTGGGGCCCTCTAGGGCGTCCTCGGAACCCGGAAGTCATGTTCCCGGAGAGGCTTCCGGGAACATGATTTCGAATGGGGCCCTCTTGGGCCTCCCTGAGGCTGTCTTGGGCCGTCTCGAGGGGGTCGGTGAGCCCCACAGACCGAACCTTTTGGGCCGTCTGGGGCCCTCTTGGGTCTCTCTTGGGCTGTCTTGGGGCTCCGCGGGGGCGTCTGGGGCACTGCGAAGACGAAGCCAGCAAGTGTGCTGAACACGTACGTTTTACAAAAGAAATGAGCAAATGTTTGCCTGTTGAAGGCCCTCTTGGGGCCCTCTTCGGCCATCTTGAAGCCATCTCGGGCCCTCTGGGGCCTCGCTGAAGCTGTCCTGGGGCCCAGTAGGGAGCGCTGGGAGCCCGGAAACCATGTTCCCGGAGAGGCTTCCGGGGACATGGTTTCGAACGGGGCCTTCTTGGGCCTCCCTGAGGCCGTCTTGGGGGCCTCCTGGGCCGACTTCGAGGCCTCTTGGGCCGTCTCGGAGGGTTCGGTGAGCCCCACAGGCCGACCCTTTTGGGCCGTCTGGGGCCCTCTTGGGTCTATCTTGGGCTGTCTTGGGGCTCCTCGGGGGCGTCAGGGGCACTGCAAAGACGAAGCCAGCAAGTATGCTGAAAATGGAGGTTTTACAAAGGAAATGTGCAAAGTGTTGCCTCTTGAAGGCCCTCTTGGGGCCCTCTTCGGCCATCTTCAAGCCATCTCGGGCCCTCTGGGGCCTCGCTGAGGCTGTCTTGTGGGCCTCTTGTGCGCCCTCGGAACCCAGAAGTCATGTTCCTGGAGAGGCTTCCGGGAACATGATTTCGATCGAGGCCCTCTTGGGCCTCCCTGAGGCATCCCTGAGGCCGTATTGGGGGTCTCCTGGGCCGGTTTTGGGGCCTATTGGGCCGTCTCGGAGGGTTCGGTGAGCCCCACAGGCCGACCTTTTGGGCCGTCTGGGGTCCTTTTGGGTCTCTCGTGGGCTGTCTTGGGGCTCCGCGGGGGCGTCTGGGGCACTGCGAAGACGAAACCATCGAGTATGCCGAAACACACACGTTTTACAAAGGACATGTGCCGATGTTTGCCTCTCGAAGGCCCTCTTGGGGCCCTCAGGGGCCCTCTTGGGGCTCTCTTGGGGCCCTCAGGGGACCACTTGGGGCCTCTTCGGAAGCTTCTGGAGACTGGGGGCTGGAATTTTCGGCGAGGGGGCCACGATCTTCGCGAAGGGTGCCAGAAAATGGCCCGGGGGGGCCCCATGGCGGCCAGAGGCAGCAGCCGGGCCCGCCCCCCCGGCTTACTCCAATATATATATATATATATATATATATATATATATATATACATACATACATTACATACATACATACATACATACATACATACATACATACATACATACATACATACACACACATACATACATACATACATACATACATACATACATACATACATACACACATACATACTAGAACCACGCGCGCTCGCAGGCGCTTGACAATACCACGGCTGCGCGCGTTGACAAAGTCACGGCTGCACGAATGCGCGTACCGACGAATGGCTTCAGAATGGTTTGAAAAATCAACATGAGCCTGGCCCCAGCAGAGAAGGGTCTCTTGGGCGCCGCCGGGGGTTAGTCCAGGGTCTCGTCGGGTGTTTGCGGCCCATCTCACTGTGGAGCTCACGCTGTACAAGGTGATTACTCGATCAAGCGAGGCCATATGTATGGGGGAGCGGGCAAGGATGGACTGAGGGGAGAGGGGCGAGAGAGAGGAGGGAAGATAAAGAATGGAACCGATGCCCCAGCGTCCGCTTGTGGTTCGAACTGATCTCGGCCATCTTGCCCTTTTCTTGGGGCCGTCGTGAGTCCTGGGGCCAAATCAACAGGAGGGCAACGGGTGAAGCCGCCACCGTGCCTGTGTCGTGGGTCAGAAGCATATTGGATGCTTGTTGGGGTCTCTTGCGAAGCTTCCAAAGAACATGTTCGAGGCAATTATGATGCCTCGTGGGGCTCGTCCGTGGCTGCTTGCGGACTGTAGGGGCTTCTTTGGGGCCTTCTCGTGGGGCCTCTGGAGTGCTTCTTGGGGGGAGGCAATTTTGAAATGTTTCGAAGCCTCCGGGGGGCCGTTTTGGGGCATCTTGGAGCCTCTTTGGGGTCTCTGATGGGTGCAGTTTTGAGCCTCTTGGGGCCTCTTGGGGGCCTCTTGGGGGCCTATTGGGGCGGAAATCTCCATTGTCGGTTCGTGTTCCCCCTCTTTGGCACCTCTTTGGGCCGTCTTGAAGCCCTCTTGGGCCGTCTTGGGCGCCTCTTGGACCGTTTGGGCGCCCTCTTGGGCTGTCTTGGGGGCCTCTCGGGGGCCTTTTGGGCCGTCTTGGGGCGATGTAGAAGCCCGAAAACGCGGGCAAGCAAAAAACATTGAAAAACACAATGAAAATCTATGATTTTAGCCTCTTGGGGCTCTCTTGGAAAGCCTCTCGGAGCGCCCCTGGGGCTTCTTTGGGGCCCCTTGGGCCTTGATGGGGCTATCTTGAGAGTCTTGGAGCGCTCTTGGGCCATCTTGGCGGCTTCTTGCCGTCCCCGGAAGCAGTGGTGGACGCCTCCGGGGGCGCAAAAGAGCCTCCGGACGCCCGAAGGCAAAGTGGGTTACGGAGGGGGGGGGGGGGAAATTCGGGAGGGTGTCCCAGCCCGGGGCCCTGGCCCCCGGTTCCCCGGTATATGATATATATATATATATATACACACACACATGCTTACACACATACATGCATGTATACATGCATACATGCATACATGCATGCATGCATACATGCATGTATGCATACAGACTGCCACTTCGTCCTGGCCAAAAATTCGGTTCCGGTGAACAAGTCGTAAAAGGCGCCCACGAAAGCCCAAGAGGCTCCTGAGGCCCAAAAGAGACCCCATGAACTCTCCCAAGCGAAACCCCGTTTGAGTCGTCGTCGTCGTCGTTCCCATTCAGGGTCGGCGGCACCAGCCGTCAGGCCTTCGCAATCGGCGATGCATCGACGACGCCAGCATGGAGAAGATCGCGCTCCACATCGAGCCGCAGCGCGGATGCATCGGCGATGCGGCGCGACCCTCCGAACTCATCTACTCGGACCCCACTAGGTAGTCCTCACCGATAACCGAAATAGGTTTTAAGACCCCCCCAATGGGGGAAACAATTTATCCTTGCGACGCCCTTATTGACGGACTGGGGTCCCACCAATCGTGGAAAAATCATTATTTCTCCACGACACCCGCCGCACAACAACGGGGAAGACGAGGAGGAGGAGGAGGAGGAGGAGGAGGAGGAGGAGGAGGAGGAGGAGGAGCAGCAGCAGCAGCAGCAGCAGCAGCAGCAGGAGCAGGAGGGGCGAAATGCATGCACCGCCGAGAGAAAGAAGGGGGGGTCCTCAAAACTGAAGACCTACCTCGGTTAGGGGAGAGGAGGGGGGGAGGACCTCTCGCATCAACGGACGTCACGGGCTCACCGAATGAAAACACAATCTCTGCGCGGTCTTCGCCAGTGCCCGCGCACCGCGCACTCGCGCGAGAGCGCGCGCGCCAAGGCCCAGGCTGCGGGCGGGCGGGCGCCTCGGGGCGCCGCCGCTCTCGAGCCAAACTGGGTGCGGAGGGCGGAGGATGTGGCGGACCCTGGGAAGCTCCGAGTCCAGCAGGCACTGACATCTCTTGGGGGGGGGCGCGTCGTTCTCTCCCGCCGCGTTACGCCGAGTTCCCACTGGCTTCCGCCCACGGAGCCGCCCCCGTTCCACTCCCGCCGCCTGCCCCCGACGACAAGATGGCAATTCCTTCGACCCTTGAAAACGAAGACCTCGTTGAAGCGCCCCACATATCGGATTCGGGACGGGGCCTCGCCAGGCTGAGAAGGCTGGGGCATTTGGAAGTTGAGGCAACGGAATCCACCTTCGAAATCAGATTCGCTCGCGCTGGATAGGAACCATTACATGAGGAATCCAGGGTCTGGAAGATTGTTGAACTCCAATCGTAGATTGGCCATGGATTTCACCACCGCCCTCATCAGATAAGGAATCCTCTGGGGTCTGCAACCTGCTGGGCACATTCGTTATGGCATTCACACATTCGTGGGTGCAGGCTTGTGCGCCCGTGTGAGAAGTTCCGGATTGCATACGCAAGCGTCCCCATCTCTCAATTTTGCGCTCAACACAGCCTGTTCGATCCGATATTGGACTTCAGAGCGCGTATTACGTCTGTGTTTTGTCTGGGTGTGATGTGTGTGTCATGCGTGATCGGCGCTGGGGGCAATGCTGTCGGGGGCCCTTCGCCCCCTCTCGCGCTCTATGGGAACATACTGGGGCCCATTCGGGCCACCTCTGCGGCATCTTGCGTCATCCCTTCTTAGGGGACTTGATCTTCAAGCGCAAGACAAAAACCTGAGTGCAAAGTTTTTGGAAGCCACCGCCTCGCAATCTGCAGCGGCGCTCGACTCCAGAGCCCATGCGCCTTCGGAGGCACACACACACACAAAGACACACAACAAAAAAGCTCTTCTGAGCGTCAGCGGGGAGGAGCAGCTCCAGCCCGTCCAAGAGTCCGCGGCCGCGCACGCGGCGGCCATGGGGAGGAGATGGCGGTGCGCCGCGGGGGTGGCGGTGGCGGGGCGGCATCCGCGGCCGAGCATCGGCGGGCAGGGCGGGGGGCGGCGCAGGCCGCCGGGAGGGCAGCGAGGGGGGGCCGGGCGCGGGGGCGAGCGGGCCAGCAGCGGGCGAGGGGGGGGCCGGGGGGGGGGGGGGGGGGGGCGACCCCGAGCGGGGCGGCGGGCCGACGGCCGAGAGCAGCGCGCCGAGGCGAGCAGGGCGCCCACCAGAGTCTCTGGCGGGCGGGGAGGGGAGGCCGAGGCGGGGCGCCGGGGCCACGGGCGGCGAGGGGCGGGGAGAAGGCGGGCGGGCAAGACATTCGATCAGAGGCACACACACACACACACACACGCACACACGCACACGCACATAAACACAACACACACACAAACACAAACACACACGTGTGCCTCCGACGCGGCGGTGGAACCAGTCACTGTGTCGAGCAAATACGATCCATGGCCAAAACAGAAGACTCCACCTCACGTGGGAGCATGGGCAAAACCCGTAAGCCGCAATGAACGCCAAGGCAGGGCCACTGAACAGAAGCCAAGCGCACGCATGAGGAGTGGGCGCGGGGAACAGAGAGAGCGAGAGAGCGAGAGAGAGGACAAACCAAACAAACAATCCAGCACGACATCTAAACACACAAAGAACATATAACAAACAACCGCCAGCACACAACAAGAAGCAGGGCGGCCAGGGAGGGCGAGGATAGATAGGGAGGGCGGAGAGAACCGCCCCCATCCAACACACACACACACAACAACAACAACAACAACAACAACAACAACAATCATTTTACCCGAACGCTCAGTGTTCTCCCCAGTGCCAGGGTTTTCATGCGACGCCAGCCAATACCCCCACTTCGTGGGGGGGCAATGCAAGCTCTACCAAACATCCACACGACTCTCGGGAACCACCCACACCCAGCTTCCCGCCCTATGACGTCAGGACACTTCACTTCGTGGCGCGCGGACGATCGTGGATACTACACTGGCGTGGAGTACACACCCGCAGAGGTTAATCACTTGTTTGGGCCCCGCATGTGCCCCGCATCGTGCATTTGTTGCGCATGATATGAGAGCAAGACAGAGAGAGAGAGAGAGCAAGACAGAGAGACAGAGAGAGAGAGAGAGAGAGAGAGCAAGACAGAGAGCCAGAGGAGAGCTACGGTGCGCTTCGTGTGATTTTATGATGCGCGGTGCTAGAATTCTTAAAAACCCAATGATTTTTGGAGATTTCGGCGTGCGCGCGCGAAGAAAAAACGAATATGTCCCGCATGGTATTATTTGACAGGGATGATGGCCCTGGCAGGTGCGCAAACGTTGTCGCAGAAGTTCGAAAAAGTTGCTCGCAAAAGCCCGTTTGACAGAATTGTTTAAAAAGTGTTGGTTTTCCTACGAATCCGCAAGAGCGCGCGGAAGAACATTTTGACATTTTTTTCTTAAAAAACCATTGGGTTTTTGATGTTTTTATGTTAAAATCGCTACGAAACCTAAGGTTTTGGAAGGATTTCGTCTTGCGCGCACGAATGTCCACTTTACCTTATTTTTTGCAAGGGATTCTTGCAATTTGATCAAGTAAGAACAAGAATTTTCATTTTATAGTATTTTTTACAAGGGAAAGCGGGGGGGAACAAAACAACCGGATCCGGACACAATCGTTTTGCCTGAGACTTCCTCACGAAAATGATGAAAATGTAGCTGCGGCCTAGGCGCGGCGGGGGGGCCGTGCACCAGGGGTCCCAACAATAATTATTCTTAAGAAGAAATAATGTTCAACAACAACAGCAACAACAACAACAACAACAACAACAACAACAACAACAACAACGACAACAACGACGACGACAACAACAACAGCAACAACAGCAACAGCAGCAACAACAGCAACAACAACAACAACATCAACAGCAACAACTAAAACTACCGACATACTAGCGAAGAGGCAATACACAAATCAACAACTATGCGATCCATAACCCCTAGCGGCAACCTACAAAAACTCAATTCTGAACATAATTACCAGAACCTGTCTTACAGAGCAAACGCTCCATGCCATCCCAACAAAAATCGTTCCGCGTCTTTCGTCGAAAGCTTTTTCCGCGCTCCCGGGGGCACGATCCCTCGGAACAGCTGCTGGACATCTGGCCGGCTCCGAACACCCTGAACCGAACAAGCCCGTCATCGATGCCTACTTCCGCCAGCCTCGGCCGGCGAGGCCGCCCCCGTGTTACTTCCGCCGCCGAGGAACCGAATCTCGATCCTCGGGGCCACCTCTGCTCATAAAATCGGCAACAGCACTGGGCGTCCAAGACGAGGGCGACCACGAAGAGGGGGTTCCCCGGGGCGTATTGAAAGAATGAGGGGGGAAGGGGGAAGCCATGAAACCTGTCGGGGATCTACTGGCCCTGGTAAATGCAAACCCGGGTCAGTCAGGCCTTGCGGGATCCTGCAAGATCCTGCAGGATCCCTGGAGGATCCTGCACGCACCCCTGGCTCTGCAGGATCAGCAAGATCCGGCGCTCTGACTGACCCCCGTCTGCATTGACCCCCTTCTCTTGAGCCCCGAACCTGGGGAGATTCTGCGGCCCTGGCCATGAGATCTCCCCCAACCCAGAGCATCCTGGGGCCACGTCGGGCCAGGGGCACTTCTAGCAACAGCCGGCCCTCGGACGCCCCCGGAGCACACCGCCGCCAGCACCGGTCTCGTCCGCGCCTCGGCCACTGAGGCTACCCCAGCCGGGCGAGCCCGGGGCTCCGGCGGCCAGCGCACCGCCGACGGCCCAGGACTGGCACGGCCAGGGCAGGCGCAGAGGGACAAAAAAGAGAGCGTCGACTTCGATAATCGGGCAGCGCTTAACCGCTGAAGGTCTGTAGTTTTGGTCCCCACCCCTTTCCTCTCAGCGGTGAAAATGACTGGTCCTAAAACCTCCTCCTCCTCCTCCTCCTCCTCCTCCTCCTCCTCCTCCTCCTCCTCCTCCTCTTCCTCCCCCCCTCCTCCTCTTCCTCCCCCCCCCCCTCCATTCCCTTCTCTTTACAGATCATTTCTCCCTGTCGCACCCCGAGGCCAGTTTTTAGGGCAGGCCGGGCGTTTCGCCTGAGACTCCCTCACCACTGATGACTCAGAAGCTTTTTAAAAAAGTGACAGCCGCTTCACACATCGAGAGCGGGTCGCTTTCAAAATGTGGCTCTCGCCTTCGCGCCGCACACATTCGTTTTAAACATTTGCAAAAGCTTCACGGATTGAGGCCGGGTGGTTTGAAAAAATGTGGCTCTCGCCTTAGCGCCGCAGACATTCGTTTGAACCATTTGCACGAGCTTCACGGATTGAGGGCGGGTGGTTTTCAAAATGTGGCTCTCGCCTTAGCACCGCGCACATTCGTTCAAACATGTACAAGAGCTTCACGGATTGAGGGCAGGTGGTTTTCAAGATGTGGCTCTGGCCTTAGCGCCGCGCACATTCGTTTTAAAATTGACAAGAGCTTCACGGATTGAGGGCGGGTCGTTTTCAAGATGTGGCCCTGGCCTTAGCGCCGCGCACATTCGTTTTAAAATTGACAAGAGCTTCACGGATTGAGGGCGGTTCCTTTTCAACATGTGGCTCTCGCCTTAGCGCCGCGCGCATTCTTTTTTAATGCAAAAGCTTCACGGAGTCCCATGACAAGAGTACCAGAAATTGTGTCTTGGAAAGACTCAGGACTATGCGGGCGCAACAGTTATGTTGATTTGGTGTTGAAGTCCCGGGAACAATGTTTTGGCACTCTTCAAGATCTTCAAACTGTTGTCTTACAAAAAAGACAGTTCCAACACTGGAAATGAACTGTTGTAGGGGCCTATGAAAGGGGGAGCTTGGAGGGAGGGTTGATTCCAACATCGTTGATGACTCTTGGGCTTCCACTGGTCCTCCTCCTTCTCCTCCTCCTCCTCCTCCTGAGCGCTCCTCAGGCATAAGTTGGGCTGGGGGGGTCTAAAGACCTTTCAAGGTTAATGGGGGGGCGACAAATGGGGGGAGGGAGAAGGGTGCACATCTCGGGCCCCAAGGCCCCCTTGTGGGCCCGAGAGGGCCCCTTCAGGGGCCCTAAAGGACTCCCTCCGGCGGTCCTCGCTGCCCCCCCGATTAGAGACTTTCGAAGGAGGCCAAAGCTGCGCCACCCCTCCACTCCAACCCCCACCCGCACACACCATTCCCAGGCGCGCTGATCGATGAAGCCCGCGCGGACTCTCGAAAATCTGCGCTTGCGTCAAGCTCTGTGTTTGTTCTCGAGATCCCAGATCCTGGCTGCCCCCGACACCGCCCTCGCGCCGGAGAGTATAATCGCCTGTCGACTCCTCATTGGTCCTCCCTCCTCCTTCCGTCCTCCTCCTCCTCCTCCTCATCATCATGGCTTCTCCTCTCCTCCTCATCTTGGCTCCTTCTCCTCCTGCTGGCTCCTATCTGTGCTCCTCCTCCTTGCTCCTCCTCATCCTCCTCCTCCTGGCTCCTTCTCCCCCTCCTGGCTCCTCCTGGCTCTTCCTCATCTTGGCTCCTCCTTGTTCTCCACCCCTCTGCATTGTAACTAACTCCTCCCTGTTGCACGCCCAGACGTGTCAGTAGGGCGGGCCAGGCGTTTCGTTCGAGACTTCTTCACCCGCTATGATCCTGAAACTTGAAATTCGCAACAGTGTCAAGGATGGAAGGCGGGTCGTTTTGAAACTTTGGCTCTCGCATTAGAGCCGCGCACATTCGACCTAAACGTTCGCAGCAGCTTCAAGGATGGAGGACCGATCGATGACCGATGGTTTTCAAAAGATGGCTCTCGCCCTAGCGCCGCCAATATTCGTCTTAACACTTCGTAGCATGTTCAGGGATGGAGGGCCGCTCATCTTCAAAATGTGGATCTCGCCGCAGCGCCGCGCAGATTCGCCTTAAGAGTTCGCATCAATTCTCAAGGTGTACGGCGGTTGCTTTTCAGAAAGTGGCTCGGGACGTAGCGCCGCGCACATTCGTCTTGAATGTTTGCAACGGTGTCAAGGATTCGTATGGTAGAAATCCCAGGGATGTTTTTTTTCTGGCACGATGTCAGGACATGAGCATGTAACGTTGGTTCGCGGTGTTGAAATCCAAGGAAAGGTCGTCAGACACGTCTTAGAGATGCCAGGGCGCAACGGTCTGGTTGATTCGCGACGCTGAACTCCCAAGAACAGCGTTTGGGCACAATTGACAGTTCTCAAACGGTCGTCTCCAAATGGGGCACTTGCTGCAGTGAGTATGCATGCTGCAGGGACATCTGACGAGGGAACTTGGAGGGAGGGTGTCTTGCAACATCGTTGGTGCGTCTTGGGTCTATACTGGTCCTCCTCCTCCTCCTCCTCGTCCTCATTCTGGCTCCTCCTCCTCCTGGCTCTTCCTGACACCTGACACCTGATGGCTGCAAGGTTCGTCCGAGCGTAGCCTGCCCCCACCCTCAGGGCCGATCGGCCCTGAGGGGGGTTGATCAAACTAATGCCAGGTGACCCCTGGAGCACCGCTCCGAGGGTCACCAGCAGGTATCTGGAATGAGAGAACGCAGGTGCCCCCCCCCTCCTCCTCCTCCTCTTCCTCCCCCTCCTCCTCCTCCTCCTCCTCCTCCTCCTCCTCCTCCTCCTCCTCCTCCTCCTCCTCCTCCTCCTCCCCCTCCTCCTCCTCCCCCTCCTCCCCCTTCACCCCCACGGCACCCCTCTGACCTCAGGAAGCCGCGGCAGGCGCGGGAAGGGAGCGGCTCGCCCACGGCGGCCACGTGCGCCAGCGCCCCAGCGCCGTCGAGGTGCCCCAGCAACATGTCCAGCACGGTCGGCACCGTGACGAGGGCGTGCACCCCGAAGTCGCCCAGCACCTCGGCGGCTCCCTCCCGGGGCCCGTCCTGGCTACGGCAGGCTCGCGCAGCGCCCACTGCGGCGTTGGCTTCTTCGGGCGCGGCCTAACCGACCACTAGCAAACCATCCCCTTCCGTCACGTCATCCTCCGCTTTCAGGCTTCCTTCCGGCCTCATGCACACGTCTTGGGGCGAGGCGAGGGGGACGTCACGTAAGGGATGGCTTGCTAGGGGTCGGTCAGGCCGCCCCTGAGTTTCTGACACCGCGTGGATTGTTCCACCTTGAGCGATCGGCCGTTTCCGAAACGTCAGGCCGTTCATGATCGACCGATCCTGGCTCGCCAGCGGCGTTCCATCTTGAATCTTGAACGATCGGCCGTCTCCGAAACGTCAAATATCGTTGAACATCGACCGATTCTGACTCGCCGGCGGCGTTCCACGTGGAACGCCAGCGGCGAGGTCGCTGCCGGAAGACACGACGCGAACCTACCGTAACTCGTCATCGTGAGCCGAGGTCTCCCTGGCGCGCTGGCGCGGGAAAGGGGAAGAAGAGGCAGCTGGGAAGGCGAGAGGGGGAAGGGAGGGATGGAGGAGGGAGGAAGGAAGGGAGGGAGGAAGGGAGGGAAGGAGGGAGGGAGGGAAGGAGGGAGGGAGGGAGGAAGGAGGGAGGGAGGAAGGGAGGGAAGGAGGGAGGGAGGGAAGGTCCTGGGGCCCAGAGCGGGCCCCTGCAGGCCAAGAGGGACCCGCAACAACACACCTCGATCACCAGGTGGCCTCCCAAATGGGGTCCGAGTGTAGACGGGTCGGAGGATCGCTCCGCATCGCCGCCGACACGGCGGAAATCGGGCTCCGCATCGAGCCGCATCGCCGCTGCACCAGCGATGCGCATTGATCCTCCGACCCCATCTACTCGGACCGCAGCTAGAAGGCCTGTAATCACACCTCACCACTCCTCCTACAGTCAAAACTGATAGGAAGGACGCGCCATAATGATGCAAGCCCCTTGGACGACCGTGTTGAAGCTTTTCGAGCACGGCTGGCCATCGAACGTAGACAAGGATGGACCGACGAGGCACGGATACACGGGTACCCTTGGGAAGGTGACCCCTCCTCACCATCGGTTTCGACTGTGCTCCTCGTCCCCCACTTCCATCATTCTCCCTCTGGACGACCCCGCAGGGCAGGCCGGGCGTGTCGCCCCAAACTTCCCCACCGCTCGTGCTCCCGACGCCCGACATTTGACCCAGACGTCGCACGACTGGGCAGGGCACGACACGCCGCTGCGCAGCGCTCGGCGTGCCGCCTCGGCGGCCCCGCCGACACGCGATGCCCTGCGAGCGGATGGCCTGTCGCTCCGCTCCGCTGGGCGGGCGGCTGAGCAAAGCTCGGGACGCTGACGCCCAGGGGGGCCTCGGACGTGGATGGAGTGTCGCGCCGAAGCGTGGCGGGCCAGCACTGGCGGAGCGACACGCTAGCCAAAAGTTCCCGACGGTGTGACCCTGACGCCTGAAATCTCGCCAGTGTTCGCATGACTGGGCAGGAGGTCCCGGGGGTTGTGAACCCTCCCGGGGGAGTACCCTTCCCTGGGAGAAGGTTTCAGCTCCAGAGCGTCAGCATCGACATCGTCGTCGTCATCGTCGTCGTCGTCGTCGTAGTCGTCGTCGTCGTCGTCGTCGTCTCCTCCTTTCAGGGTCGGCGACACCGGCCGTAAGGCCTTCGCAATCTCTCCAGAGGAGCGACAGCAAAAATTGAGTCTTACGCGAGATGACGTAGCGATATTACGCGGCGGCTTACGCGGGCCGCGGGCGCGGCACGCCACATTGGAGACGAGGGCGCTGACGCGCGAGCTTACGCGGGCAGCTTACGCGAGTGTCGGCGAAGACGACCTCGCTTTCTTCTGTCGCTCAGCTGTCGCGCGTTAGGGCCACTCCAGGGCCCCACTTAGGGCTCTTTAGGGCCCCAGAGGGGCCTTAGGGCCCCTCAAGGGGGCCTGTAGGGCCCGAGCAGGGCAGAATGCATCGTCGCAGGCGGTCCCGCACCCGAGCCGCCGCAGGGCTTGCTCGCTCACCGAGCGAAGAGACCGCAGCATCCATCTGCGCGGCGCCTGCGGGGCCGCCCTGCCATGCGAACGCCCTCGACGACGACGACGACAACGACGACGACGACGACGACGACGGCGACGGCGACGGCGACGGCGACGGCGACGGCGACGGCGACGGTGGCGGCGGCCACGACGACGACCAGGGCGAGCGCGAGGGAAGAGGCGAGGACCAGGGCGAGGGACGGAATATGGCGGAGAGGCGACCCGGAGACGGGGCACTCAGGCGGGCAGACAGCAAGGCAGCCGGCCTTTGAAGGGCCTCACTGGCGGTTCCTGGTCCCTCGATGGTCGGCAAGGCTGGGCAATGTGATCGGTGGACCAACGATCGTCCTCGTATTGCTGTGCTCGCACCTGCAGCTGGGACCTGCCTGGCCTCCTATGCGCGCGGGAAGACTGTCGGGAACTTTGGCTCAGCGCTCGGCGCGTCGCCGTGGCGGCGCCAGCGACACGCTATGTCCTGCAAGCGGATAGCGCGTCGCTCCGCTCCGCGGAGCGGGAGGCTCGGAAGGCTCGGTACGTTGACGCCTGGAAACTGAAACGTGCATAGCGTGTCGTGCCGAAGCGTTGTGGGCCAGAACCGATGGAACGACCCGCTGACCAAATATTCCCGACAATCGGGGATCTACTGACCTGGGTCAATCCAGACCCGTGTCACTCGGGCTTTGCAAGATCCTGAAAAGTCCTGCAAGATCCTGCAACATCCTGCACGCTGACCCGGGTCAATGCACCCCTGGCCCTGCAGGATCCTGCAAAATTCGGCGCTCTGGCTGACCCCCGTTTGCATTGACCCCCGTCTCTTCAGCCCCGAGACAGTACATGTTCAACGTCGCTGACGATCTCGGAGGGGCGAAGGCCGGGAAGCGCAAGAGAAGCCTACTGACATGCGCCCCCCTCTCCTGGGCCCCAGAGATCGGGCCAGGACCCGCACGTTTCCCCAAGAGCCGCCAGCGCCGCAAGGGCGACAAACTTCGCGCTTCGCGCTGCGCGAAAAGCAAAGCGCGAATAACTTCGCGCTCTCGCGCCTCGAGGAGGAGAACGAGGAGTCGAAGCGCGAAGCGCGAATAACTTCGCGCCCTCGAGGGCAGCTTTGGCGCCGAGATGGTGGGAGTCGACCAGAACGTCGGCCAGCCCCCCCCTCCGCTCTGCGGCAACCACCTTGGTAAGACGAAACCAGGACGAGGATCAAACATCGGGTGACAATACATCGAGAACCTCTGAGATCCGGCGGCTCTGAGAGGACGTCCCGGGCGAAGCGCTCAGAACGTTCCCGAACGCTCTGGAACGGATTCACCCTCGTCCCAGCGTGGCCGACTTGGCCACTGCCCGTCCTGAGCGACGAGCCGAACGCATCTCTGGAGGCCTCCCAAGTAGGTTCCGAGCAGCAGGGCTCGGAGGATCGGGCCGCATCGCCGGTGCATTGACGACGCATCGGTGATGCAACGACGACGTCGGCGAAACATCGGCGACGTTGGCGTGGAGATGATCGGGCTCCACATCGAGCCGTATCGCCGATGCACCAGCGACGCGGGGCGATCCTCCGACCCCAACTGCTCGGAACCCATCGGGGAGGCCTCGAACTTCCCCTCCAGAGCCGCGAACCGACACCATCTCACGATCCTACTCGGCGCGGCGCCTTCGCTATGTAGTCGGGGCGTTTGTGCGCGCCCTCCGCCGCGACGCAGAGCGACCCGCCCGCGCACAGAGCGGGGTAGAGCTCATACTCGGCGGTGCGCCACTGGTACGGCGTCTTCCAGAGCAGCCGGGACTCGCTGGAGACACCGATGCTGGAGCCGAAGCAGAGGACGGAGTGCCACAAGTTGCGGTGGTCGCACACGGCACCCTTTCGCAGAGTCAAGGGACTGGCAGAGGGCGCGCGCATCTGCTGCCCTGGCCCCTCCTCTATCACCTCTTCTCCCCCCCACCACCCCGTGGGTCAAGGGGAAATATTTATCAAGTGGGGGGTCCTGCTCCGCTACCGCTACTGCTACTTTAACTCGATACTTCTCCCTTACACCCCGAATCCACACCCATGGCTTCGTCAGGTACCCCTGTGAAGAAGTTGGAACGGTCGCCGAACCGCCAGTGCAGACCACCCGTCGGAAGAGCTCTCTGCGGGCGAGACCTGCTCGCATGATCGTGCCAGTCGCATTCGGCGGCGGAGCTTGATCAGACTTGAGATTGACCAAACCCCCCGGCATGCCTAGGTCGTAGGGCGCCGCCACGAGCCCAGCCAGCGCAACCTCCTCCAGCCCGAAACCCTCTGCCCAGGTTCCAGGCGCCGGGCACTTGAACAGCCTGTGGCGCGTCGTCCCCAAGTCCGGCTTGCCCCGCTGACAGCAGGGGTCAGTCTCGGACCGCTCCACATAATGCCGGACCCCCCAGCGATGAAGGCTCCCAGGAGCTGCGCCATCTCAGGGCGCCCCTGCGCTCGAAGGCCCGCCGGCGCGAACCTGATCGGCCCCGGGTCAGGCGGGCGACCCCGCGGCGCCTCGAAGCCGGGGTGGAGAGAGACCTCGCGCGTCGGACGCCCGTGGACTCCATCTTCAACCAAGCCGACGAGCATCCGCGGGATGAGCGCCGAAGGCCCAGCACCGCACCGCGATCGTCGCGCCAGACGTGCCAAGAACATGCCGCCCAGCCCGCGCGCCGGAGCGCCAGCTAGACCGCTGCGGCGGGCCCCGCGACCGCGGCCCACGACTCGAACGGCGCCGCGAAGACCATTTTGAAGACGGCGTCGGGCCTGGATTTCCCGAACGCCGCGGTCGCCCAAGCCTGCAGCAGTAGAATGTTGGCGGCATGCGCTGGGCCCTGCTTCCGCGCCTTGCCGCCCTGAAGCGCGAACTGGATGGCTCTGGCCCCATAGGGAGCCCCACGAAGGTCTCAGTGCTACCGTCCGCATGCGTCCCGCACGCCCAGTACAGCGATTCGTGGCCCCATAGGGAGCCCCACCGAAGGTCCCAACGCTACCGTCCGCATGCGTCCCGCACACCCAGTACAGCGTTTCGTGGCCCCATAGGGAGCTCCACCGAAGGCCCCAATGCCCCGTCCGCATGCGTCCCGGAAGCCCAACTTGGCATTTTCACCCACCCAGTGCAGCGCTTCGTGGCCTCATAGGAGGCTCCACCCAAGGCCCCAGTGCCACCGTCCGCATGCGTGAGGGAAATGTAATTTGGCATTTTCACCCGCGCAGTGAAGAGCTTCGTGGCCCCATAAGGGGCTCCACCGAAGCCCCCAGTGGGACCGTCCGCATGCGTCCCGGAAACCCAATTTGGCACTTTCACTCACTCAGTAGAGCGCTTCGTGTGACCACGATGGAAACCACCGCAACCGCAAGTTCACAAAAAGATTCCAGGACGGGCGCAATCCCAAATTTACATGGCAGCGTTTCGCACTTGCACTCACGGTTCACTCTGCACTGCGCGCAGCGCATGCAATTACACGCGCCTTCGCCTTGCAAACATCACCCCAGGAACCATCTTAATAACACCAAAGGTGACCTGTGGGACCTGCGGGACCTGTGGAACCTGCCGGAATTGGGAGAGATGTTGGGAGCATGAGCCCTGTGGAACTTGTGGGAGCTGTGCGGGCTGCGGTAGCTGTGGGACCTGAGGGACCTGCGAGACCTGTGGGACCCTTGGGACCTGTGGGACGCGTGGGCCTGGTGGGACCTGTGGGGCCTTCGAAATTGCAAAACTTGTCGTCCCTGCGAGACCTGTGGGACCTGTGGGACCTGCGGGGCTTGCGCCACCTGCGACACCTGCCTGACCTGTCGGACCTGTAGGACCTGAGGGACTCGTAGGACCTGTGGGACCTGCAGGACCTGCGATACCAGTGGGACCTGGCGCCTGTGGCACCTGTAGGCCCCGTGGGACCTGCGGAACTTGCGGGGCCTGCGGGACCGGCGCGACATGTGGGACCTGTGGGACCTGTGGGACCGGAGGGGCTGGGTGGACCTGTGGGGCCTGTGGGACCTGTAGGGCCTGAGGGGCCTGTGAAGCATGCGTCGCCTGTGGGACCTGTGGGACATGCGGGACCTGCGCGACCTGCGAAACCTGTGGGACCTGCGGGTCCTGCGGAACCTGCGGGACCTGCGGACCCCGTGGCCCTTGTAGGACCTGTAAGCCCTATCGGGCCTGTGGGACCTGTGGGGCCTTCGGGGCATGTGGGACCTGGGGGGACTGGGACTTGCGGGGCCTGCGGGACTTGCCAGACCTACGAGGCCTGCGGGGCTTGCGGGACTTGTAGGACCTGTGGGACATGTGGGGCATGTGGGACTTGTGGGACATGTGGGATATGCTGGGCCTGCGGGATTTGTGGGACCTGCGCGACCTGCGGGACTTGTGGGACTCGTGGGACCTGTGCTGGCGGCGGGACCTGTCGGACCTGCGGGACCTGTGGGACCCGGGGGTCCTGTGGGACCTGTGGGACCTGAGGGACCTGGGAGACCTGCGGAACCTGTGGGACCTGTGAGAGCTGCGGGACCTGCGGGACATGTGCGACCGGTGAACCTGCGAGAACCTGTGAAACCTGTGGGGTCATTCATACCTGTGGGAACTGTGGCACCTGCGGACCTGCGGGACCTGCGGGTCCTGTGGGACCTGTTGGACCTATGGGTCCTTTGGGACCTACGGGACCTGTGGGAATTGCGGGACATGCGGGACTTGCGAGACCTTTAAAACCTGTAAGACCCGTGGGGCCTGCGGAACCTGTGGGACGTGCGGGACCTGCATGTGGGACCTGTGGGACCTGCGGGGCCTGCGGGGCCTATGGAGTATGCGGGACTGGCGGGTCCTGCGCGACCTGCGAGACCTGTGGGACCTACGGACCCTGTGGATCCTGTGGGGCCTGCGGGACCTGTGGGGCTTGTGGGACCTGTAGGACCTGTGGGACCTGTGGGACCCAGTGGGACCTGCGGGACCTGCGGGGCCTGCGGGGCCTGCGGGACCTGCGAGACCTGCGCGACACGCGGGACCTGCGGAACCTGTGGAACCTATGGGACATGTGAAACATGTGGGACCTGTGGGGCCTGTGGGACCTGTGGGGCCCGCGAGGCCTGTGGGACCCTTGGGACCTGTGGGACGTGTGGGACCTGTAGGACCTGCGAGACCTGTGGGACCTTTGGCACCTTCTTTGCGACTTGTGGGTCCTGTGGGACCTGTAAGACCTGTAGGACCTGTGGGACCTGTGGGACCTGCGGGACCTGTGACACCTGCAAGACCTTGGGACCGGTGGGATCTGTTGGGCCTGAGGGACCTGTGGGACCTGTGGGACCTGCGGGACCTGCGGGACCTCCGGGACCTGTGGCACCTGTGGCACCTGTGCGGCCTGTGGGACCTGCGGGACCTGCGGGACCTGCGGGACCGGCGAGACCTTCGAGACCTGCGGGACCCGTGGGACCTATGGGACCTGTGGGACATCTGGGACACGTGGGACCTGTGGAACCTGTGGGACCTGTGACCGCCGAGGACCCAAGTAAGGCCCTGAATTCTGGGACCGCCAGGCACCCAAGTAAGGACCTTACTTGGGACCCCGGGAATTCCTTATTAAATTTGGTGGATCGACAGATGTCTCGCACTTTGGGACCATCGAGGCCCCCCGGGGGGCATTTATTAAGGAACCAGAAGTTTCCTTACGTCCACCATGTTTTCTTGGAGCGGAAAGACCCAAAGTTCAAACGTCCCGGCGTGGCCGTCGGAGGCCCCCAACCAGCCACCCAGCTTGGAAACGCGCGGCAAATGTTTCGCCGAGGCTGAACGCGACTCTGCTGCCGTCGCCACCGTAGCTGCACTGCATCCGGTGATCCACTGGCCTCAGGGCCCCGAAGAGTAAGCCTCCTAGCGGTGTCCTGACGACCTCCTGGAATCTGGGGGGAGACCGCCGGGGGACCTCCCCTGGTCCTCTTGGGGGCCTCCCGCAAACTTCCAAAAGGGGGCTGGGAGGTCTCCCAGAAGTTTTTTCTGGTCCTTGCAAGCCTGCTGGGAATCCTCCCCGAGGACCAGGGTCCGGGAGCCTCCCCCAGACCTCGAAATCTGGCAGGGCTCCCTCCAAGGGGAAACTTCCGGGGAGACCAGGGGAGGCCCCCTGGAAACCTCCCCTGGTCCTCCCGGGGCGCTGGGGGGAAACTTGGTGGAGGACCAGGTGAGGTCTCCTGGAAGCTTCCCCTGGTCCTCCCGAAAGCCTCCCACAGGAGACCTCCCCCCTGCGGGAACTCTCATCGGAGGCTTCCAGGTGAACCAGGGGAAGCCTCCCAGAGACCTCCCCTGGTCGTCCCGGAAGCCTGGGGGAGGCCTCGCCTGGTGCTCCCAGGGGCCGTGGGAAGCCTCTCGCCACACCTTGTGGAAACCAAGGGAAGCCTCCGGAAGGCCTCCCCAAGCCCTCGGGGGGATCAGGGGGAGGTCTCCAGGAGAACCAGAGGAAGTCTGGTGGAGGCCCCCTCCACCTCGCCGGAGGAGGGCCCGCTGGGAGGTCTGGTCGACGTGGAAGGGGGGCATCCCACCAGACCTGTTGGAGGTGGAAGGGAGGTCTGGTACCAGACCTAGTGGGGTTGGGGGTAACTGAAGACCCAACCCAGGCAAAGCAAGAAAACCAGCATGGAGGCGAACGCGGCCCAAGACGGCACCAAGATACCCCCCGGGCAACTCACGACGGCCCAAGAGGGCCCCTAATGTCCCAGGTAGCCCCATATACGACTCAAGAGTGTCCCAGGAGGCCCCCATGACAACCCGACAGTAACCCATGACATACCACATGTTGTCCATGCGTGCCACGTGAGAACCCCAGGAGACGCAATAATGAGACAAGGAGAACGAAATGGAAGAAAGGAGGGTGACAACATGGGGG